GCTGTTTCTTTGCCAATTGCTGGTCAAAGAGGACAGGCTTGTTCAGACTTCAGACAGGGTTGAGACGGTGGGCAAATGATCAGCAGAGAATCTTGGTTTGGTGACCAGGATCAGAGAGAGCTCCCCTGGGCTCTAGAAACAGGGTAGGTATCCCCTCTTCAAGGGTAATGTCTGCTAGACCTTGTGGTCTCTGAAGGGCTGGACTGAATCAAGCCATCCAACTAGCCTCTGGGCCAGAGCTTCCTCTACATGGCCCATGTGTCCAGCAATGGGTTGTTTGGAGTTAAGAATCCAGGTGATACCATGGATTTAAGTTTCCCCATACATCCATCCATGCAGTAACATCTATTGAGTGTTCATTATGTTCTAGGCTTCATGATAATAGTTAGGAATAAAATGGTTAGAGAAACACATCCCTTCCCTTCCTTCCAGCTTGGAAAGCAGACCACAAATAAACAATCAAAAATTAGAAGAAACTGAGATTATAAATTGAGATCATGGCCAAAAAGGCACAGACACAAGATGGGAAGACAGAGATAAAGGGGTGGTAGCGAACATGGGTGTGGGTGATATTAAAGAAGGGCATGGATTTGAGATATTCTTGAAGAGGTTTCAAAACTATTCAGGTGTTCAGGGTTTGGGGGATGGAACTGAGAATGGACAAACAGTGAGAAAAGGAACATGGTGGGAGCCCAGTGCCGTGGTGGCCAAGAGAGGACACAATTGGCAATGCCTCGTTGGTGGTTGTAAGGGGTTAGCTAGCACAGTCTCCTCCACCTGGCTGGAGAACATACAGCTATTAATGGAAAACTTTTCCACTCAAAGGAAGGAGAGAAATCCACCCAACAGAGGCTTACCCAGTTACTGGCACTGTGCAGCTTTGGGGATCATGACAGGTGAGTGGATCTGAACATGACACTGGTTTTCTTTTTAAATAGAAGAGCTGTCAGAAATGCATCAGGGCCTGGCCCAGGCTGGTGGGCAGATTTCTGCAGCTCTGAGCCCCTTCAGGCCTTTCATTTGGAAATGAATTCTGTACTCACTTCCTCTTTCTCTTCTCTCCCCACCTCTCTGGGAAGGGTAGCCATACATTCATTTGTCCCTGATGCTCTTTCAAGGAGAGATAAACCCATTACTGAAAAGTTCCTGTCTGGGAATTCTCAGTTGTTTGATTTTCTACCATGTCACCCTTTCTGGGCACAGTCAGTGGCTCCCATCAGGGAGTCACCAGTGGGTGGCCCTTCTTCCCCTGCACAGCTTTCCCCTGGAGAGACAGTAGTGGGTTTTTACCAATTGGTCCCAGCTACCTTTCAGCCAGCACAGGTAAATCAAATGCCAACGCTGAGGAGGGAGACAGGGAGTGTGCAAAAGTTGACAGTCTGAACAAAGGCAGCGGTGGAAGAGGGACAAAGGATGTTGTGGGTGGGAGGACTACCTCTGTGGCAAGTAAAATGAGCAAGACCGGGTCATGGATTTGTTCTGAAAAGCAAAGACGTTAGCACCAAGGGTATGTCCCAGATGCACAGTATGGGTGAATGGGTAGGCTGTGGTGTTGCCAACTAACAAAGAAGAATCAGAGTATAGGCAAGAGTGGCCAGGTCAGCTGAGGGAGATGGAGGTTTCTCCTTCAGGATTTTGAGTTTGAAGTGTTTGCAGTCATCTAGGTGACAAAGGGCACTAGGAAATGGACTATATATAATACCTAAAGATCCTGGATCAGCCATAGGTTTCATCACTGGAGTACTCAGTCTTGATGAGGTTGTACAACAGTGACACATGACCCCAGATCCCAGTGGCTTACAACATCAAGCATTTATATCCTCACTGACAAGTGTGAAGGTCATGGAGTCAGATGTGGCTTTGCCCCACATCTTTCCCATTCTAGAACCCAGGCTAAAGGGAAAATTTCCATCTCAGGTTTATTCAAGGAAAAAGAATGATGGCAAAGTCACCCCGTGACTCAAAGCTTCTACTTGGACAGTGCACATGTCACGTCTGCTCACATTCTGTTGGCCAAAATGAGTCACGCAGATCCACAAGGTAGGACAGCACCCCCCCACTGCTGTGAATACTTCATATGGCAATGGTCAGGGAGGCACATTCCCCCAGTGGAGAGGAAAGAAAATAATTGGGCCTTATAATACAATTGGCTATAAAATGTTGGGGGTTCATACAACTTCTGTTTGGGGGACCTAATCTGTGAAAAGGAATGATAGTACTACCTCTTAAGTTTGTTAATAGAATTAACTTGGTTCATACATGGAAAGCATTTAAAATGGTGCCCAACACAGTAAATACTATAAATGTAGTGGGGTAGAGGGAGGGGACAGGAGTAAGGCTAGTGTTTAATTGGTACAGAGTTTCACTGTGGAAGATAACCAAGTTCTGAAGACGGATGGAGGCAATGGTTACACAGCAATATAAAAAGTACTTAATGCAACAAGTTGCACACTTAAAAGTTGTCATAATAGTAACATAATGACCAAATATATAATGTTATGTGTATTTTACCAAAATTTAAAAACTGTGGGTGATAGGATCATTTAGGGAGGAAATGAAGAGTAAGGAAGGTGATGGGCAGAAAGAAGAGAGCTTGGGAACCAGCTGTGAGGACAATGGCATTGAGAAAGGATCTTTAAGGAACATTTGGGACATGGAAAGAAAATCAGAAGGTGATGTCTCCCTAAGTATGAGAGTTGAGTTTCCTGTAGGGAGGAGTGTTGGAGTGCCTGAAGACATTCATGTCACTTGACTTTGAACCTAAACCTTACCCCACTGAGCTAAGATTCCCTTTGGTACATTGATTTTTGTGAGTCGGCTTCACTCTGCCAGTCCTGATGATGTCACTTCCAGCCACCTACCATACCTGACCTAGGCTACTTCAATGCAAAATCCTGGTCAGGTCTCCTCTCCTTGTTCCCTCCCTCCCCCCAAGCCATTTATCCTTTGTGGATATCCTGGTGAGATAAAATTGTTCTTTAATTAAAAAGATATAGAATATGGGACTTTTTTCCCCCTTATGTCATTATTATTGGTGTATGTATATTTTCTACCCTGAACAAAAAAAAACCTCCAATCTTGGAATCGAGAGAGAGAGAGAGAGAGAGAGAGAGAGAGAGAGAGAGAGAGAGAG